GGTTTCACCGTAGCAGTGATTTCATTTCAGTAGTTGGGAAACTGATCCCAGTTCATATAATTTAAAAATTACTCTGACAGCTTTATATTAATAAAATTCACAAAAAGTTCTGCATGTATATAGCACAAAACAGCCATTATTTCCTGTTCCTTGCACAATAGTGCCCAATGGCAGACTGAGATATACTGTATGTTTAACAGCTCAGTTGTGCATTCTTTTACTATTAAGCTGGATTTTAAAAGGCTCACACAGTGTTGCTACAAAGAAGAGCTTTATCTTCCAGCAGGCTTATCCTCCCAGTACTTATCCTCTAGTTAGTTTTTACTCTTTTTCTTAGTCTCTACCCCTTTGAAAAGTTTAGAGAAAACACTTGAAAGGGTTGTTTCTCAAAGATGGAGTAATTAAGATAAATGCCCCTAGAGTCTGACTCTCTCCTCATATTTCCCATGTTATGCACCATCACATTCAGCTTTGGAGGAAGAAGGAAAGAAAGAAATTGAATGAGATTGAATGAGGAAGGAAGGAAGGAAGGAAGGAAGGAAGGAAGGAAGGAAGGAAGGAAGGAAGGAAGGAAGGAAGGAAGGAAGGAAGGAAGGAAGGAAGGAAGGAAGGAAGGAAGGAAGGAAGGAAGGAAGGAAGGAAGGAAGGAAGGAAGGAAGGAAGGAAGGAAGGAAGGAAGGAAGGAAGGAAGGAAGGAAGGAAGGAAGGAAGGAAGGAAGGAAGGAAGGAAGGAAGGAAGGAAGGAAGGAAGGAAGGAAGGAGGGGGGGGAGGGGTGGAGAGGGGGAGGGGGAGGGGGAGAGGGAAGGGAAGGGTCTTCCATTTAATTGCTTCCCAGTAGTACAGTTTTAGCAACTTCTCTGAATAAGCAGGCTGACAAAGAGGATTCAGCATTAAAAATGCATTCCTAGCACTCTTAATTCATACAGTACTTGAGAGAAATTTTAGAAGGCCATTAAAATAGATGCCTAATTCAAACTGAGTTTGAGGGGACTAAGGAACCAAATCTCAATAAATACTCTGCTTATACAAAATGTTGCTCATCTCCACAGCTGTCCCTGTTCATCCTTGGTCTTATATATAATTTTTTTCTGAGCATGTGCAATACAGATTATCTTGCCCTTTCCTTAGGTTGAATGGGTTCTATATGAAGTGGTTCATCTACAAATTATATCAGTGTACAGTCTACTGATTTCCATGTAGCTCTATTCAAGTATAATATGTGTTATGAAAATTCTCATGTGAAGTGTAAACTCTATCATTCCAGGTTAAGTGGTCCACAGTTCTACTTTCTATGCTATTTTCAAAGCTCATATCTTCACAGATACCAAGCAGATATTAAGTAAAAAAATAATGTGATAACAAAAATCTTCTCCACCATTGATCTTTTTCACTGCCCCTTGACTTTCTAGTCAATTAGACTACATCAATGATACTTAGGTAGGATTTGTTTCAGCCAGGGCTGACACATGAGCAATGTGCAATTACGTGAAGTACATGATTAAGTGCGCTAGATTCTGTAATGGCTGCGTTTTATGCAAAAAATAAAATAAAATAGGTCATGCTGACTGTAGCCTGCTACTTGGCACTGTGTCGTCCCTGCCACCTGCTCATTCACTGGCAGGACAGAATAAGATGATTTGTTCCAGCAAATGGATGTCCAGAAGCTCAATCATTCAGTTAGGCAAGAAGGCAGAAGAGAACACTCTTGAGAAACTGCCCCAGAGGGAAGATCCTGCACAACTCCCAGGGCTGACAGGCAGTCATTCCATCTTTTGTCTCCTGTCTTCTCCTTCTACAGAGTTTCTGTATGTCTGGTTGGCCTTATGTAGTCTGGAAGATAATATATTTGAATACTTGACTAGGTTCAGAATGACAGTGCTGGAAAGCATTGATTTTAACTGCTCATTGGCTAATTTTCAGGTCACACTTCCAAAGAATGTGATAACTTTACTTAGTAGTGGCATGGGATCTTTAAAGAAGGATATGTAGCAGAAACACTGCTTTTTAAATAGAATTTATAACTTAATATTAGTATTGTGTACTCAGGTATACACCATCTCATGTTGAATATTTGAAGAGGATGGAAATAAATCCTATCACCAAGAAAAAGTTCTAAAAAACAAATGCTGACTTTTAAAAATGTCATTCCTTCTGGAATTTGTATTCCTTTAAGAAACCACAGTATGATCTAAACAAATTGCTGCAATTATGGCTCTGATTCAGAAAAGCACTTCAGCAAATATTTAACATAAGCATGACTTGGCATGTATACTCTTGAGTGCTGTAACTGAAGATAGAAACCCTTTTTATTTAGTACACAGTAAAACTCTCAGAAGTCAGTTCAACAAATAAGTCATCTTTGGCAAGTATGCAAGTATCAAGTCTACTATGCAACTGAGTCCACAAAAGTTTTTCCCAGCTTTTCTTTCAGTGATCATGATAGTCCTGTTATACAGATGAATACTATTTTATCAATTGAATATTAGCAATTATGGATGTAATCTCTAGCAGAGATTTTGAAAGCACAGTAAATGTTTATGACAGAAATATAGCAAAAAAAGTTTGGAGATAAATGTCCAAAGTCTGTGTGTCTATGTTGAAGCCCTCAAGCTACTCTCAGCTTTGTTCTATCACAGAATATTGTTTCCCTAGCTTGACTTTTAAACTTCTGTATTTTGACAGCACTGTGAGGTAAAGGTCTTCTCTGAGTCATTAACTTTCAACATTCTACTCTCTGCTCTTATATTTAAAGTTTAAGGATTAATGTGGCAGGAAAACCACAGTCACACAATGATTTATGGCTGAAGTCTTTCGTTTTTGAGTAGGTCTTGAGATCTGAGAGAATCTTTATAACTAATATTGAACAGTGAGAGTCTATAAATAAAATACATAGGGAGTAAGAATGTAAATGTCACGCACTGCCTTGCATTCGAGGTTGCACAGGAGACAAGAATTAATGCAGACTGTGGATCAGATGCAAATGACACGTTGTATGGTATTATATCACTTCCTGTGCTGAAAATACAAATTATTATAGCTGATATACCATGAATAATGTAACTGCTCACTGCAAAGTTCTAACTGTGTCTGTCATCCGTCACTTTTTTACCATTTTTATGAGACAATCAATAAAACTTGTCATGTTTTTCCTTTTTTATGGATCATAGAGTTCTTATCAAATACTCAGTGAACTATAGATTAATGGACAAACTGGGGAGTATTAGCTTTTACTCACCTTGAGTCCTTGTGAACAATAAGACTTTAAAATACAACTTTGCAGAGATTTAATTGTAGATTGTGCAATCTATAAGGAATTTTAGATACTTCTCAGCATCATCAGTTATTCATCTCAAAGTGCTCTTGTCCATGAAATTTGCAGTTAAAACCAAATGTAAAGCAGAATTCTAGGCTTTTTATACATTAAGTCAGATTTTTTCATTACACTTCGATCAATGCAGAAATGCAGCTGGGATCCATGTAAACATAAATTTTATTTAGCTAAAAAGATTATACTTTGTCAATTATGTGATAAAAAGTTGTATTTTAAAATCTGGTTGCAGATGAAATGAGGTTACTGTGGTCTGCCTTGAGCCAAGACAAACTGTTATTCATAACTAAGGTTTTCTTTCATTAGTCATGATTTTCTTTCTTAAATCCATCCAGATACATGCGATCTTGATTAACCTCCGCATTTATGTTCCCAGCAAAGGTTGCAATATTTTGTTTGTAAGACTTTTAACATTTTAACTCTAGCTACTGATGAAGATAAGTTTTAGCACTTGTTAGACAGGTTATAAGTTTATATATGAGAAAATAGGAAAGATTACTTATCTTTCTAGAACTTATAAAAATCTCAAACTCTACTTCTTGTAGCACTGCTTTTTCTGTGCATCATTTTAAATATATTTTCTTGTTTCTTGTTTCTTTATCACTAGTTTATAAACCCATATTTGATCATATTAATGTGTGTATGGCTGTACCTAAAATGTCATAGGACAAGACTCTCTTTCACTTTTCTAAAATTTTATTATTATTTTGAAATTTTGATGCAACTAGCTGGCTTCCTCATTCTTTTTCAGTAAAGCTGAAGTATAGAGACACCTGCTGGGAAGTGAATGAATGGAAACAATTGCAAATATTCATCCTAGTAATAATAAAAATAGAAATAATAGCATTATTCTTTTTTACAGCTTTTAATTTAACCTTATCTTTACTTGGTGTTTTTTATTTCTACAAAAACCATACTAAAGGTACAGAAAAATTACAGGCAGGGATATTCAATTTCAACATTCCATCTGACTAATTTTAACAGACCTTAAACAGTCCATGTGACTTCACCCCATTTCTTGTATTTTGCCCATTCAGTATCAATCACATAGAATTCTTGTGCTTGGACCCAGGAGTAGGTACTGCCTTGTGACAAATTCTGTGCGTAACTTCTAGAAATGTATTATTTCAGAAAATCTAGTGTTAAGTTTAATTACTGTATGTAGAAAATGAATGAATAAATAAATAGACTATAACAAAATAAAAACTAAAATACATATTATTGACATATTACTGAAATCAAATTGCATTCAGTATGTTCGCACAAATGAATGGTTAATGTTTAATTTTATTTCAATCTTACATTTAAACTTTCTTTTCACATTAGATTATAATTCTCTATTCATCATCTTATGCAACAAAGACTTCATTAGTCTCAAAAGCCAGGCTAATATACTTGGTTAATAACTATAATTATTTCATAATGCCTTTCCTTCTAAAACATATTAAGTAGGTTGCTCCAAAAGTAATACTTTCTATTTATTTCCATAGAAACTATGAGAGATACAAAGAAGTATGTTATTTGATAGCTCAAATTCTCAGCTATAAAACAATTAAAGCTTTTCAACACAGTCAAAATCATTAGCCAATTAGTGTGAATGAGATCTAGCTGTTAACCCCAATATAACTGCCTGTCCTAACAGGACTACTTCTTTAGTTACAGCACCACTTTTTAACTCTGATTTGAAAAATTCTTATCTGAAATGAGTTTAATAATAGTAATTCACCCAAAAAGGATTGGATATTACTTCTCCTGACTTGGCTCCACTAACAGTAGGTGTTAATGAGTTTCTGAAATAAGTTAGTGGAATAAGCACTGGAGTGAGCATTTATTCAGCATGAAGTATGCTTCTGAATTGATGTGGATATTTCTTGCATCTGTATTGATGCTTTCTTATAAATCTCCTAGGTTATTATATTTATGCATGAAATACTCTACCAGTCAGACTGATGAACTCCTCAATGCTGGACTGCAAACATGAAAACTGAAAGGTAAGTGAAATTCTTGTCCTTCATAATAACAGCATACAGAGTAGAATTGTGTTTTAAGAAGGCAACAGGGAATTGAAGTTCAGCTGAGAGCTCTGTCTTAATAACTCGATTGAGGTCAAAGTCTTTGTATTAGTAGTAGGTTGTTTTGTTCATAAACTATATACTGGTTTATTATCAAATCTTTTGAAGAGTATCAAAACTGCATTTTTCTTTAATGTGAGCTAAAGGGGTTTGAGTTGTTTTCTTATTGCACCAACACATTAAATAAAATCTAGTTTTAATCATAGAGTCATAGAATCATAGTATGGCCTGGGTTAAAAAGGACCACAATGATCATCTAGTTTCAACCCCTACTGTGTTCAGGGTCATGAATCTCTAGACCAGGCTGCCCAGAGCTATCTCCAGCCCAGTTTTGAATGTCTCCAGGGCATAACAAGCATAATAGTTTAAGCATAATAATTTTTTTTAGGTTCAAAATATTGAATAGAATTCACAAAATTCTTGTCTTTTTAGAAAAAAAAATATTTGACACACTTTTTCCAAAGCCATCACAATCTTTTCTGAATGAATCAAAAGGTGTTTATTATAGGTAATGGCAGTTTTCCACAATACTATCCCCTTTTTATCATCTTCATTAGAGCATTTAATATAGTATTGTATATATCCCGTGATTTACAAGTGGAAAAAAAACCCTAGGGTCACTGGAAGATTTTATATATTGTGAGAAGATTTGTACCTGTGAACTGATTACTGAGGTATAACCTTCTAATAAATAAATTTTATTTTTGAAATAATGAAATAAATGTTTGTTTTTTTCACTTATCAGACAAAAGTGAAAAGAGATTGTAACCAAACTTAGTAAAGAGAATGATGGACTTGGTTTCATCAGGATTAAGATTCCAGATTTTATGAATAACTAGTAAATAGATAGTGTTTTATTTTTATCTCTGTCTTGCGAGAATCCTGTTCATAGAACTGTGTATGTATGGATTTCTGTATGTGGATGGTGGAAGTACAACATGAATGATCCTCGTCTGTAAAAAAGGCACAAATTATAATATTTTCAAAATGTTCAGGAGGGCCATAGTAAAACTGTTAGCTTATTTAGATTCTTCAAACAACCATGCACCATTTTATATTTATTATTATATCACTGGATTTCTGTTTGCAGTAGCATTATTGATTATGATTAATTATTGCATTGAAGTAAAAAGAAACTAGGTACAATAATTATTGACTTGAAGTAAGAAATATTTCAGTACAAAGAACAAGAAAGAAATTAAGTACAGGAGAGATCAAATCAGAAGAATACTTATTTTGTCTTTTCAGTTCCTAGAGAAAGTTATGCTGGAATGTAGTTTTAAGCATGACTATACATCTGTTCTGTTCTGCACTGGTATATTAGACTAGTTTTATTGTATGTATAAATACACACATATTCTTAAGATCTTCATTTGGAATAGTTCAAAATAATCCCTTATTAATCTTTTCAATACTTGCAGCTCCTACCAAGTTCAGCAGCAGTAAGCAGAATTACTGGTGAAAAACCAAAATTGTTTCCTAAGTAAATATAAACATAATAATACAAATGCTTTGCACATTTCTCAGATCTCTAGGAAAGATCTCAGAAGAAGAAAAATAGAATAAAAAAATTCATTATTATTAGTAGTTCCTTATTCTACATGAGTATTACAATTAGGAAATCCCAAAACTCAAAGCAGGATACAAGATAATACTGGGACTCTGACCGCTTTTCTTTTAAGACAATTGCAAGCTAAGAATTCATGATTTGCTTAGGGAGTTTGCTTTGCTTTTTATTTGAAGGGAAAGAGATTCAGTTTCCTGCCCAGAATAAAAGTGCAGAAGAGTGAATATGCTACATGCTTTAAAAAGAACAGAATATTTTGCTCCTTTTTTTTTTTTTTTTTTTTTTTTGGTGTGTGTGTGTGTGTGTGTGTGTGTGTATGTATGTATGTATGTGTGTGTGTTATTCTCTTTCAATGGCAACTATATCTTGGTAGATCACACATTTGGTACATGTTTTTAAGCATATTAACATATGCTTCTTTTGTTATCTTATAATGTTTGTAAGTATATATTGGTCTACATGCTCTATCCTTGAGTTAATGGACCATGTTCTATTGCTCAGTAAGGATTTATAAAACATATATTCATTCTGACATAAGAGTGGCAGTCATCAGATTCAGGATGTCTTACAGAAATGTATCCCTCTGGATATTCCTTTTCTTGGGGAAAATCCGTACACATAAATTTGAGTTTACAATTTTGAAACGTCTCACAGAACCGAATTACAGGGGACAGGAAGAGATTTCAGGGAACTTTTACATACTTTTAATATTCATTTCTGTGAAATCAAAAGCATTTGGCATTATTGCAATGAAATATTTCTGTGTTTCAAAATCAGAATTAGTCTAGCAGTGAGTTGAGGAAGAGATTTTGTTTTTTTAGCAGCTTCTATTAAGCAGTTTTGCCAGTACCACCTATGCTAACTATGTTTATACTGCAATTCCAGTCAGGACTGTAGAATGTGTTGACATACTTAGTTAACAATCCGAGCTCAGATAATGATATCCTTAGCAGCAGATTTACTTAGATGACTAGCCAAATCCAGTTTATGACTGGATATATGTGCTATTGTCACTTCTACCCATTTCAACCTAGGGAGACTTGCTAATCAAGCAAAGTATGTCTGTGTCCATTAGTTTTGGAAGTTATATAGATTCATGATTATTAAACATTTATATATGGCATATATAACTAAAATATTATGAATATTTTTATTATATTATTATAACATATATAGTAATATCCTTTAAGATTGAGTATGTCAAGACTATATACAGTTAAAAGAATAGCAACATGCTGTCAAATATCCATCAGGTCATAGAATAGGTATGTTGCCACATAGATATAGCTCATAACATATAACTAATGTTATCTCTCTTCAGTACTGAAAGATGTTTTTAATTCTACATGCTAGACTTTTTGAGGCTTCTGTAACAGGAATGTTCTTAGGACAGTCACAGACTAATGTTTTTAAGAAGTTTTTGTTGAATCTAATGATTTGTGACAGCAAAGTATAGTGAGAACATATTTTAAACTGCAGAGTTTCACTTACAAACTGCAAATAGTGCAGGGGGAAGTTTTTTATTTTCTGGTTATCTGCAGCTCTGTTATTCATGATGCCATTCCTGTAACATTAGCAATGGTGCTAATTAACACAAAACAAAATCTCCCATAACTCAATAATGGAAAAAGAATCAATATGGTATTGACACTTCCAGTTTAGCAGGAAGATTTTTAGTTCTGCAGGAGAAAAATTAAAAAAAAAAAATAGTTGGAAGTTACTAGTACTATGTTGGATGGAAAAAAGAGATGAATTTATGTAGAAAGATCCAGTTGAATTCCTGAGTGGACCACCTGCACTCAGAGTAATTTTACCAGGGCTAATCCAAAATTAATGCCTCCTATTTTATTTTTTTTTTTTTATGTTGGCCCACAAATTGAGAGGTGGATGTTGGTGATATGGGAATAGAGGTTGAACCTTGCCAACAATATTTCACTAAATATTGTTACTATGCAACAGATGTGAGCAGTCTGACAAAATGATGTCTGATATGGAAATCCATCTGAAGCAAAGATGTGGAACTGAATTTCTTCATGTGGGAAAAATGGCACCCATTCCCAGCCATTGAAACTGCTGAACATTTATGGGCACCATACAGTGGATGTGTGTACAGTGAGGTAGTGGGTGATGCATTTCATCAGTGGTGACAGTGATAGTGCGTCACCTCCTCTGGTGCACATTTTTATGAGCACAGCATGCCAGCTTTTGTTCATTGCTGACAAAAATACACATCTAATGGTGATCTCAGTGTTGAAAAAGAGTGTCTTGTAGTTGAGAATTTGCTCTATCAAATAGTGTTATTGTGCCCTTTGTACCTGTTGTAGTTTCCATGGAAATAAATAGAAGACATTACTTTTGGAGCAACCTACATAGTAGCATGAAAATTTAGACCATCTATAGTACATAAGTGTTGACTATATAAATATTCTCCAGTTATTTTCTCTCCTGTCATCACTTCCTGAATAAAGTGATCTACCTAGAGACAGTGCGAACACTGCAGAGGTATCCAAGCATTACATGTTAAATTAGCTACCAGTTAAAGGATAGTCCAGTAATGTCTCCCAGTACTCAGATTCGGTGAGGCTACATCTTGGATACTCTGTTCAGTTTTGGGTCCCTCCAACAGAAGAAATTACTTACTCTGGAACATGTGGCTAAAATATGTTTACTTAATACCTAAGATTTGTTGGTTTTTGAATTGTTTTTTGAATTTTTGGAGGTTTGAATTTTGAATGTTTCCTCGGAGGACTTTTTCTTTGAGGATTTAATGATTTTTGAACATCAGTGGACCAACTTTTTTGCTAATTTTGATGTCAAATTCTCTTCATTCTGGACTTATCAGAGTCTCAGGCAGGGGAGACTTTCAGAAGTTATTTCAGTCATGGAGTGATCTCAAGCCACATAAAAGATAACAGCCCAGCTGGCAGCCTTTCATTCTGTTTGGTAGCCACTCAATGAAAGAAAACTTGAACTCTGTCACTTCAATTTTCTATCAGAAGGACATCTTGTTCAAAATGCTGGCCTTCGTGGAAGTATCACGTGGTAGTGCATTGCTTATCTCCAAAGGGACCTCTGGCTTGTTCATGGACCTATTTTTTTGGAACCATTCACATTCCTTCTATGAAGATAACTCATTTGATGACAATTAAGTCTATTTAACTGTTCAACCACATATACTGTGTTTAGAAGTAGCACTTAAACATATGTGATAGGATTAGATATCGTAGAGGTAAGTATAAATGCAAGAAAATGTCTCTTGTGAGGTTATAATTTAATTAATATTCTAAAATGCTGCTAGATTGTCAGAAACAGAAAAAAATCAACTGAAATTAGGCCGTAACTGTGTGTTCCT